TGACTATGATTGTCCGTGTTGTTCTTGTTTAACTGACAATTTTAGAGCCAGCAGCGGCTAATAATAAATACAATATGTTGATGCTCTACAGTTTCAAATACAATATACGATGCACTGAAGTCTGGTGTTTCGCGGCTGACCGAGCCTGCTGTTGAATTTTCTGCTCGCTTCCTTGTGCTGAGTGTCTCCCCTTGGCAGCCATGAAGCTTAGAGAAAGTGTTCATTCATCATACGTGTCTTTGCATAAATAAACAAAATATGTACGAAAAAAAAAGACTCAAATATGGCAACTGTGAGAGCAAACCCACTTGAGTCAAACTGGGGGATTTTGTTCATTCTTGGTGTTTTTTTTTTCCTCAAACAGCTTCACATTAATCAGAATTGATAAAAATACAATTTCTATCCAGTGCTTATAACACTTATGAAACATTGTCTCCATGTGAGTTCTTGTTGTCATTTTTTTCTTTCATTTTTTTGTCTTTTTTTTTGCCGTATAAGCACAGTCAAGTTTCAGTTCCGTGAAGAGTCCTTGATAACTATCAGCCAACTAAAGCAATGTGGCATGGTCATTAAAATATTTACAATCACATACAAATCAATCTAACCAACAGCAAACAGGAGCAAACAGCTTGAAAATACTAAACAGGTTGACTTGGAGGGAAATCCACTTGGGTTTGTTTGTTTGTAGGAGAGCGTTCTTCAAATGTTTTGTACCTCAAAATGAGAACAATGTAGAAAAGATGGGATGTGAAAAAAAAAATGGAATTGTTAATTGTTGAGGTGTTCAAAAAACAAAAACCTACAAGCCTTAATATAAATGCTTCCAAAAAGTAGGAACAATGCAAGCCAGCTCTGAACGGGTTTTGACGATGAGAGTACAGAAGATAACAGTGCTAAAGTGATATAAAGAACCATCTGTACCAATTATAGCTATAGGAGAAAAATGCAGTGACCAGCAGTGGGGATCTCAACTAGTTAAATACACTGACCAGCCATTCAGATCCTTCAAAAAGCTCTGCGTTCCTGCTCAAATTGACGGGTTCAAGGGCAAGGGAGGGGAATAGCTGGACTCATGCATTAATAATGTTGTATTTCAGATGATACCCAGTCGTCAGTCATTTTAATAATCCCCCACAGCTTGATGTACTTGTTCCATCTGCTCGCCAGTGCCTGGTGATTGGACCGGGGTGGGATCCCTGTTGAAGCCTTACTTCCAGCACTTTGATGGAGAGCACAATGAGTGACACACACCCCATTTTTATTGTTTCCCATCCCTCCCTGGTGTTTTCTTCTTCTCTGAGCCAGATGGCGCCCCCTGGGTGCTGAGGTTGCCACAGGCAGGGGTCAGAGCAGGGCATGGCAGGGAGGGGAGCCACTTAGACCTTATGCCCCGTAAAGAGGATCTGAGTCGCAACATCAAGGCCCTGACCGCTAGAGGAGCTTTATCTAACTGCAGGCTCCAGAAGGTCACCGCTTGTCAGCTTTTTGCTGAAATTAGGAGAGACTTTGTTCTTGTTGTTTCTGAGTCGTTGCATGTCACGATAAGTGCATTACAAAAGCTGATGAGTTTATTAGAAATGAAAAAATAAGGCTCAAAGGTGACAGAGTGAGAATTAATTTTAAGTGCATTTGCTAAGTTACCTGTCGCGTGACAAGGCAATTTAGGAAACATGATTTTAGGGTGATCCTCATAAACTGTCACTTCTTTTAAGACTGCTTCAGTAATCAACTTATTGCATCAACCTAATGACTGTGCTCTACTTTAAGACTTCTTAGTGTCAGTTTAAGATTTACAATGTCTAAAAAGAATTAAGATTGGAAAAAAAAAAAGAAGTTCTCAGACCTAAGACTTTAAACTTGCTGTCCAAATGGGGCTAAAGCGTTTATCAGAACATACTGTAGCTACACATTGTACAACATCAATTTGAGATTGTAATGCCCCCAAAGCTGCCTTTCACTGCTGTTCCAATCCCACAGATTGGAGGCCTTTGGCCCTTTAGCATCCTGGCCTGATTACAATCGCTCTGATTAAGAACTTGGTAAGTCAGACTGGGCTGCAGAGCTGGAAATGAGTGAAGGATGCCACAGTGCTCTCTGTGTGTGGACTGGGATGAGGAAATGAAAGGGCTGGCCGGTTTCATTGATGATCACTGCATTGGGCTCCCTGGAGGACAGCTAGCGTCACAAGCTACCAACCAGAGATGTCACATATTGTAACCTCCCAGCCTTTTGCTTCCAAGTTCCTGAGTTTGATTTGTTTGTTCTGTTTGGGTAAATTAAAGAAAGACTGGATAATTAAGCTGCATTAAGAGATCAAGAGATTGTCTAAGACCCTCAAAAGACTTTACCGATTTTAGAAACAACTTGAAATGTTTGGCACCTCAGCACTAAATTTTGTGTAATAACAATCAATGAAAACATTAATAATAATAATAATAATAATATTAATAATTTCCCTCTGTAATAAATTGGCATCATCCGATATGAATTTTGAGATATTTTGTACTGGTAATATTTTACTCTTGATTTAAAACATTCACAAGCTGTTGGCTGGCACACTATACCTGAGTGAGTATATTATTCCCATTTTGAACAGTTACATCATATATCAAAATCATCTAATTGAAGAGACAAACAAGGTAAGTGACTGTTAAGAGTTCAAATCTTACACCAAATATTGATATTTGATGTATATATGTCAAATATCAAATGTTCAATTTCAAGTTCTGTATTTTGTTCTAGGCATTAACCTAATTGTGTAAATGTCTATGATCACAATGAAAACATAAACAATGACAGAAAAAAAAATCTACCACAACCAAACTGCTTCACACACATGAAGAAACACTTAAGACCAAATAGCTTTTGATTCTGATGAAGCCACATCTGCATGCTGGCTCCTAAATGATACATCATTATTTTTTTTTTTTAAACATCCTTGTGTGGTGTTTTTTTTTTGTTTTTTTTTCCTTATGCTCTTTCCCTCCCTCAGATCAGACCAGCCCTATGGGCGTCCTCCTGTGTAAGTGTTGTGTCTGCATTGGCCTCCTCCATCAAAGAGGTCTCAGTTGGCGTTGACTGGCTCTTGAGTGTCATTTTCACTGCTATAGTCTGATTTGGGCTCATCCTCGAAATCCTCGTACATGTCCATCTCGTCCTCGCCATTGACTGGCGCGCTGTTGTTCGCCATGGTGTTGGGCTCTAGCTTCATGTTGTAGGTGGTCTGGATGACAGGAATGGTCGGCTCGGGACTCGCCGAGGCACTAGAGCACTCCGATGTCATCTGAGGTGAGGGCGTGGTGGTTGCCATGGTGATGGCCCCGGGATAGACCATACTGGCGCTGGTTGTGATGGGAAGCTGAGGTGGCTGTCTGGATGGAAGAGAAAGATGAAAATAAGATTAATAACCTAATTGTTATAAAAGAAATGTCCTTAATGGGCATTTTTACCTTTTTTTTGATAGGACAGTGGCACGAAATAGAGAGAAAGATTTGGGGAACCAAACCCACGGACTCAAATGTCCATAATTTTATTCAAATTTGACCTTTAAATATGATAAAGAACAGATGGAAAGGATACCAAAATTGTTGCTGAAAAAGCAAAAAAAAAATAAATGATGTTTTTTTTTTGATTGCAGCACTTAAACCAAGATGGTTGGATTAGGGGTTTCCCACAGTAGTCTGCACGAGGCCAGCGGCTCTGTGAAAATGATTTGGGAAAAAAGAGGTTCTCTTGACAGCTCCCGTTTTGAGCTGTTCAGAAACACTACCCAGTTTATTGGTGACATAAAACCAATACGTGGTTAGTGCTGCTCTTGTCTGCTGTTGCGCTGGATGATTGATAGTCCAGCCGCTGACGCTTATGACTGACATGGGAACACCTGGAGAAGGGTTCTCCTGCTAACCACACACAGTAAATTAAAGTGTTAAGCTTCAGACTGCTGCCCTCCAGGCTTCTGTAAGACTATACTTACCGCTTATATCCTGTAATAATATCTGCACTTCATGCTCCATTTGCAGACTGCTATTGTCTAAAATTAAAAATGAGAACTGTTGAAAAGCCCATTTTAATGGGCATGTCAAGTCCTTGTCTTTTAAACAAACACAGAAAAACACTGGCTTTAGGAAATTGTATTTATATTGTATGAGAAAAGGCTCTAGGGAGGAAAAACGCTGTAGTCCCTCTCGGTATGTTTTAAGATTGTTTGTGTGTTAGTGTGGTTACATGGTGGGTTGTGTGACTGCGTGCCTACCCCACAGTGAAGAACTGCCTCATTTCTTGTCGCCTTGACCGCATCATCTGCTTGTACTCGCCAATGCGGAGTTTTTTTCCGTCAATAATGCAGGTTCTCTTAGGCCGCGGCTTGTACTTGTAGTTTGGGTACTTCTCTAGGTGGAGCTTACTCAGACGGGCCTGCTCCTCGTAGTATGGCTGCTTGTCCTGGTTAGTCATGGACTTCCACCTAGAACCTACACAACATGGCAGATGAACACACACAGGAGAAAACTGTTTCAGTAACATATTATAACATAAATAGAGTCAGAGACTTTCTTGTTCTGTCAAAAGAACTATGTTTTAAAATTCACAATCCAGTCACATTTACAACACTAGGATAAATTAATTTAAATCAGAATTGTCCATAATAAGGGCAGAAGTTTTTTGAGCACAAAGTCATGTGGCAAGATTTATTGTCCATTCCACACCAACCACTTGATAGCCCTGCCTATGCACATTATCTGAGACGTAAGACAAGCCTCGATGTCAAAAACAACAAGCCGGAGTGGTAAATACTACAGCTCTGCAAAGTGTCCTACCAGGTAGTGGATGACAGCACTTTTAACAGCTCTGATGAATGGACTCCAGTGCTGAAGGGACAAGACCCATTTAGCCTCTGTCATTTTTCATGACAAACACTTATGGTAGCGCTGGGCTATAAATCCATCTGTGTGCTGAGGTGAACTGGCTCTCAGTGGCCTATGAGATAACACACCTTCCTTTAGATACCAGCTGCTTTGTCGGATCGGCTTTACTCATCAGTGCTGAATGAACCCATATCTGTGTGTGAAAATACTGTCTGTCTAAAGTCTGTGAGGTATAACTACAATTCAGACAAATGAAGGAAATCTCTGCTGCTGTTTTAAGGTACTGTTCTACACATAAACATTCTTCTCTACCTCTCCAGTGCTTATGAGTTTCAAACACTGCATGTTTATCACTTTTATCAACGTTTAATTATTCACTGTTATTTTTAATTAGAAGTTAGTCTTACCCAAGATTTTGCTAATGTTGGAGTTGTGCATGTCGGGGAAGGCCTGGAGGATCTTGCGCCGCTCATCCTTGGCCCACACCATGAACGCGTTCATCGGCCTTTTGATGTGAGGTTCGTTGCTGTTCCTTCCTCGAGATTCCCTAAAGACTCGTGCCTCGGTGGATCCAGCGCCTCCTGTTGGCCAACAATAATATGGTTGGGGTTTATCTCTGGAGTCATTGACTTTGGACCCCGGAATAGCCAGAGCAGGAATAAGAAGTGGGAGCAAGGCAAGACATTGATTAAATGACAAGCGTTTTCAAACTATCCATTGTCTATTAGGGTAATTGCTGCTATCATCATCATGAACATTATTTCAGATTAGTGCAGGTCTACAGACCCTCATCGAGAGAGTAGACTCAACATTGAGCTGGAAACCTCAACAGGCTTTTATTCAATGTTTAATAAAATAATGCCCATCCAGAACCAAAATAGAAGCTTGGACGTCAATATTAGTAAAACATTTTCTTTCCACTTTTATTCTCTGCTATACATTTAATTTGACAATTGTAGTATCCATATCTATGGGTTCAGGCATCCATACATATGCATTGCTTATTTGGATAAGTACCAAACGCAGGAATTGAAACAGTCTTTAGAGATAAAAATAATCGGGAGAGAAAATTGGCATAACTCAGTAAAATATTTTTCTAAAATAAATTTATATATAGATATATATATCTATATATATACACACAAATAAATTCAGATTCATGTCCTCATCTGCTTTACTCTGTTTCTTCTTTCTCACTCTCTTTTTTTCTGTCTCTCACACACACACACATACACAAACAAACAAACAAACCAGGCGCACATTTACGATGAGAGTGTGCCATTTCTCCAAAGTGCTGTTTCTCAATCAGGGCATTCACAATCAGCATAAGAAGGTTTTTCTCAGTATTAAACTGTACATCAGACTGATAATGATTTCTGTTTGCATGCGCATTTGCTTGCTTTTATATGTAAGATGTGAAAGAATTAAATAAATGCAGTATGAATATTTAAACAAACAAAAACATGTTGATAAACAAGGCTTGAAAAATAAAACAAAAAAAGCCTTCCATATGCTACGATACATCTTTAATGATCTCAAATCTGGAATAGAAAGCTCGGGATGACTCATGCATATTTCATCATCCACATGTGAAGCCTTCTCATTAGACCATTTCACCAGCAGCCTTGGCACATGTTACCTGGGGTTTGATTTCTATTATTATTTCAGTTGATAAACAAAATCAAACTCTTAATGAGTAATGGAGGACTGTGCGGAGACATTAATTCACAGAGAGCTCGTTCTGCTCTAATCACTGAGGACACCGAGGAGTTTGAGTGTCTTTGCTTTGGAGAAGCATATCTTCTTTTCAAAGCTATTACGAGACAAGTGCTGAAAAGGGGATAAATATATAATCACACACCCACTACCTATGATAGAAATGGAGGTGTGGTGGAAGGTGGATTATGTGTGTTCATGGTCCTGCTGCCTACTACGAAACCTGTTTCTCCCAGAGCGAAGGGATTTTCACCTGCTCATGTTTAACAGTCAAACGTCCACAGACACTGAGACTTGCCTGGAAGGTCTGGTGAAAAACTGTTTTTCATATTGTGACCCTGTACTAGCTGATACTGAAATAATTAACTCTGTTTGACATTTTAACTACTTCAGGTCAATTGAAATAACAATAACAACAGTCAAAAACTGTTTGCTGGTCTCATCTTAAAATCTTGATTTAGGCTTCAGTAAATGTACATTATTCAAAAAGATAATAAATATATGACTATATTACATTTTTACAAAAATTAAGCAGTATTTTTGTCAATTTCGCTTAAATATAAGTTATAATCAATCTTTAATCTCAAATTGAAACTATTTTAGAATCCTTAATGAATTTGTGTTATTCATATTAAAATATTCAATATAATAGTGGAGGATGTATTTTACTTTTCAAAAAAAATTCCCCCAAGTTAACTAATTACACTATAATCTTTATCAAGTTGCTCATATACAAAGCCTAATCTTCAAAACCTCTGCCATTTCTTAGTCTAATACACATATATAATTATCATACACTTTGGTAAACACATAGTCAAACTCTGAGTGCTGTCATATTCTCTCTCTGTCTGTTTGCCTTCACCTCCCAGAATGCTTTAGGCCCTGAAGCCATCATGAATTCAGAAATAATACACTACCTTTGCTGCCACCGAAACCCCACAGTACGTTAATTTCATTTAGCATGCACTCACTGTACAGGATGAATTGATTTCACTTTGTTTGGTTTTGACAACCATGTTTATTGTGCAATGAAATGTGGTGTGGCGGAGGGCTGACAGTATCCATCAACGCGGGGCAATCTGCTGACTGTCGGGGCCAGATGAAGGTATTCATTAGCTCAGGAGCGCAACGCTCACTCAGACACGACAGCCAGTGTCTGCACCCCGGGATCGCTTGCTGTAATTTACGATGCTTCCCGTGCCATTACTCTATCACTGACACTGATTCAGCAATTTATATACTGGTTTGCATGCATACGGGCAGAGGTGAGCTTCTTATGGGGAGGGGGGGTGGCGAAAAAACAACTGCCTGCCATCAGCTAGTGCCACATCCATAGTTAGCCAGGAAACCAGCCACGTGACTTGGTTCATTGGAGGGAAGCCAGATGAGGCATGGCACATAGAAAAGTGCCTGTCTGCTGCAGAAAGACACAACAGCAGTCTTACATCATTTGTTTCCATCTGTACTGAGGCAGGTGCTTTGGTCCTGGTTGTGTAAAAAAAAAAAAGTGATGCTTCACTCAGACTTATCCCTGCCCCTGGGACACCAACAGCCTAACAGTTTGACCTTTGACCTGAAGTAATGAGTCCTTACAGTAATTGTGATTGTGATTACAGTCCAAACATTATATAAGGGCATCCACAACTTCATGTGTGGATTTATTTAGCCCCTCATCCAGGCCCTTCAATATACATGCATTATAGCAACCAGCCTTAGAAAATCCCTAGAAACAGTGCCTGTCTTTTCAATGAAAATCATGACACTGCTCATGACATTTTGCAAATGAGCATTAACAATATTTTTCCAGGAGGGGTAGGGCATTCAGGCATCAGTTAGTTAGGTGTGTGATTGTGTAAATAAACACAGATGTTTAGCAGTGACAGGGGCAGGCCCCCTGGGTGGTAGCTGCGGAGGGAGCGAAACAGAGGGAGTGTCGCTTAATAGAATTTATTGTGATTCATGAGGCCTGCAGCTCAAGTGTGACAGAGTGATATGAGAATCCTCTTTTAATTTGTCTCTCCTGGAAACACTGCAGATGAGCGGCATGAATTACAGTGAGAGAGAAGATAGTGTGTATTTGTGTGTGTGTATTAGGGTAAGTGGGAGGAGGGGGTAGAAAAACTAAGGAGGAAGCAGGAAAAAAGGAGAGAACTTGAGAGAGTGAGAGAATTTAGTGAGGCCCAAACGCCTATCACACCTGTGAGCTGCAGGCTCAGACTCGACCGTGCACCGAGCCAGAGGGTAGCGCTGCCCCGGCCATCCCCTCTCCTCCTCCTTTTCTTCTCCCTACTCATCTTTGTTCTGCAGGCAGACACATAATGTCACCCAGGAATCCGCTCAAGAGGATGAGCCTCAGTGAGCAGGCAACAATCACGCAAACCTGCCAAGCCCTCGCTGTTGGGATCAACACATCACCTCTGACTGAAGGCATTTACTGCTGACAATAGAGCCTCTCCCTCCGAGCACGTTCAGGCTAGATTAATGTGTATGGACGGACAGGAGGCAGCGCTCAGTGGCCCCTGCTCCAGCCTGATCTCACAGCATGCTAATTAAACCATTACAAATTAATAGTGATATAAACGCCATCATACCATGCCAATCCATTATTTTTGCTTTATGTTTGGATGATTTGAGTTTTCTGAAGCATGTGTGTGTGCCTGTACTGTGTTCATTTTTGGAAAGTGAGGACATTTTGATCAGCCCTCACTTTTTCGATGGGCTGTTTGAGGGTTAGGACTTGGTTTTAGGGTCAGGGTAAGGATACAGCTTTTAGTTTGGATGGTTAGTGTAAGGGTAAAGGTTTAGGGAATGTATTATGATGATGAGTGTCCTCACTAAGATAGAAGTACAAACGTGTGTGTGTGTGCGTGTGCGTGTGTGTGCACTTGTTAACTTTAGAACAAACGAGCAACCTGTTTAAACATGCAGGCTGTGGCTTTCACTTTTCTCCGCTCTATCCCCTCTGTGGTGCATTTAGCCTTAAAGTGGAGTCTAATCTTTCACAATATCCCAGCTTTGCACTCACAAAAGGAGATGCATGCACACACAGAAGAAACGAAAAACACACAGAAATTTGTTCTATGGGGTTTCCATTTAAATTTGCCGACTTCAAAACGAAGCTTTCTTATTGATTGTGTTGACCTATTCAACTATTGTTGTTGTGACTTGATAAATCATTAGAGCCTCCTCATCTAATCTTTTTTCAAGAAAATGTCCTCGACAATAAAAAGCCTGAGCTTGATTCCCACAGCCTCAGTGCAAGAAAAACCTCTTCAAACAATCAGCTTATATAAAAGTTCAGAACAGCTCAGAGCTACTGAAGTAAAGAAACCCATCATGATCTGTAACAACAATGCAACACTACTGTTCTTCTCATCCTATTCCATGAGGACTTAGTTAAAGACACTGTTTGGCTGAAGCTTCATCTTTTCTCACTCTCTGGTTGATGTTATCACACTGGGCGTTTAGATTAATTCTGTTTCCTGTCTCCACACATCTCTCAACAAGCTCTTTGTTCTCTGCGGACCCTCTGCAATGGGGGGTGGTTTAGACAAACACACGTCTTGGCTACACAGCAACTCTATACTTCCATATGTGAATGAACAAAGAGCCCGGCTGGGCTCAGGCCTTGGTGGTATTCTGCAATATTTTCATCAGAGCTTAAAAAGACCTAATGAATTTGCGGTGGGACCGTGCGTGTGGCTCGTGGCTTTGTATAATGGAGGACATTTTTATCCATTTCCATTCCTTTGCAGCTTTTTTCCAGTCTCATTCGTTAGGACTTAGGGTGCTGCATGCTTTGCAAATATTAGCTTTAGCCACCTAAAGCTTTCTGTGAACTGCTGTGATGACAGAGGGCCGCTGTACGCCGGGCCCGGCTCAGTGTGGCTGCTCTGTTCTGGAGGGAAAGCTGCTGCACACCAAGGGGCTTTCACACCCTATGTAAGGGTTGGGAGGTACACCCAGTAATTTTCCTTCTCAGGAAACACCAAAGTATATACAGTGTGTTCTGAATTACTAGGGGAAAGTGTTGTTGGAATACAGAGGAGTCTCCAAATTAATTTTCCCCCTGCTTTGCCAAAATGCTCCCAAAATAATTATATTTATGATTTAAATTATGAATTCCAAAAGTATTCCCTGAAAACTGCATTTTGTAGGTCAGACGAAATCCAGATGCTTCGGTTAAAAATGTGCTAAGTTTGGTTGAAAAGTAAATACTTTTATGATGTGTTAGTCTTATATAACCATTGCTTCGGTAGAATGAAAATGACTGTGGCATTTAAATAACTGTAGTATATAAGACTGGCAAAAAAACTTGTGCACCAAATTTATCCTGGTTTTAACCCTGCCATCTGCATGACCTTTGACTTGCAAATCATCAAATCAGTGCTGACTAGGTTAGACAAGAAACAAAATACACAAATAGGGGGCAGTGAGAAAATGACTGTGTGCCTTTGTATGTCAAGGTATGTCAGGGTGACGCCTTTTTACATTAAACATGTTCTCAGAGGAGCAAACGCTTTGTGGTTCACATCATTCGACAGTATGTGTTTTCCCATTGGTTGAGTTCAGAGACAGGCAGATATATTTGTGGCGTAAAGAGAAGAAACGGCAACTTTGTGTTTAGAGTTATGTACGCTGCCGTGGCTCCCAGCCTTATCCCCCTGGGAAGAGGACCTTTCCTCTCCTCTAACCTCTGCCTGCTCCTAATCCATAGCCCACTGGGAACACTGATGTGAGGCGTCTGACGCGATCTGTTCCCTCAGCTCTGAGCCAGGACTTAAAAGGACACAACTGCCCTGATGTGCGCTCTGTTTCGGTCCTGACTCCACGGCAGCCACAGACAGAAGGTTCCCACTGGGAGAGTGCGCACTGGAAGCATATCTGTCCGAGCAGTAAGATGGGTGGGATGGGATCTGCCGCTGTGGCTCACGTGGGAAACATGTCAGTGGGTCCACTAAATGCACCCCTAATTCTGATCTTCAGGATTGGGTGTGATCCGAAACAAGACGAGTAGAAAGAAAACTTTGGCTTTGGAGTTTGTAAACATTTTAATGGGACATAAAAATATATTTATAAATGTCTGAAAATCATGTGGTTGGTCTTTTATCCAGTATATTTCAACCAATTATGCAGTAGCATTTCTCTGTAAAACTGATGGGAAATGTGTCCAAATGCTATTTAAAGTTGTCGATGGGTTACATTGTCCTGAGAAATATCTTTCCCTCTGCCTTCAAACTCTTTGAGGCATCAAAGATGAGTCAGACACATTTTCCTCTTTGCTCTGTCTCTAAAGTGCCATGGAAACTGCCACAAATATTTATGCTGGGCAAACATTGGTGCACGGAGGTTATCCTAGCTCCTGTGTAGGAGTCAGCGCCACAAAAGGAGATGACGCTTTGTCACACTGGTGCAACTCCGAATTTACACCCCTTCCCCAGGACCTCAAACAAGCACAACAGCAATAGGAGCCGGGCTTGGAAAGAAGCCAGCTTTGTCCTGAGGCGCTCTTGTCCTCCGCTCACCTACCTGTGAAAACCTCGGAGCCACGGTTCATTTCAAACGGCCTTCACCCCAAACCCCACATCTATTTTACACTCATGCACTTTTCTGCACAGACCCATACAACCCACTTCACCAATCCAATTCGGAAACATGTAGCAGCCATCAAAACTAGTCCAGAAAGGTCTTTGGGACATTTTTGGGATTGTGAGAAAACATCATCAGATGTAGAAGCAATTAAGAACAATTGTGTGCAATGAAAATGAAGAAGAGATAAAACTCAAATTTGATCTTACCATCTAGGTCCTCTGGCCTGGTGAGGTCAATAACTCTGTGGCCGATCTTCCCATCCTCACCCAGCTTCCCGAGGTGGTGGCCAATGCTGTCAAAATGTGCCCTCTCCTACAGGGGAAATACAAACAGTCAGGTACACTAACAAGTAAATACATTCATGTTTTTACAGTGATGAATTGTAAAAGTAACCCCATCAGGAATCCAAAATTTTGAAAGGAAAAACATGTCTTTGATAAATGGAGGTTCTTTGAAGAGCTGCTCTTTTGACATGAGCTAGATGTAGCTTTTTCCTCTCTCATCTCTCTATTCAGCAGCTGCTATAATGGATGACAAGAGGAAGAGAGACAGTGAGGGCCAGGGGTGCTGTAAATAGATTTACAGAAGGATACTTTGTGATCCCAAGCACACAATGGGGCCGTGGCCCTCTTTGCAGTGCTCAGATTTTCCTCTGTAATCTTCTCCTTACATCCTCCCTTCCAGTCTACAGCGCCCAGAGCTCAGCGCCCATCATTTATTCAGAATTCATGCTTTGGAGAACACACCGTGTTTTCCCGTTTGTCATGTCGCTTTGTGCTCAGATTAAACTTGGCATCATGTTGTACTTGACGCACAATGAAACCCTGTCATTCAGCGCTCCGTGACAATATTAAATGTCATGTCCGTGTGCATTTACAGAATAAAATAACAGCTTTCGGGGGGCCTCTGAATAGTTGCTGCACATTACACTTAATGTATTATGCAAGGAGAGAGTGCCGACTGCTGCTGGCTCCATTGTTGAATGACCTACTTCCTCAGTGAATACACAGGGCATTAGCAAAGGGCTGTCTTCCTCTCTAAAGACTCAACTAGGAGATGGACACTTTGACTCTGCATGATACAAATAATCTCCCCCCTTTGCCTGGATGACACTAAAAGCAGGCATGTTGCCACCATTCAGAGAGAAAAGCATTTGTTTTACTCTCAGGGTGAGTGTTCAGTGTCTGCCAAAGATATACTCTACACTGACCTGACCTCTGCCTCTCTCTTTTCTACACGTCTATCACATGCCGTCTGAACAGATACTCAGGTAGAGTCCTCACACAATGCTAACAGCTCCCCTGCCACACACACAGACACCAACACACATTAATCTTTCAGCCCTTTCTTTGTACCGCATTGCACAATTGTGTTGTTTTTTCACTTTTCTCCCACAGGGAAGTTTTTTTCCTCTTAAAATAATAGACAAAGGTGCTGAAAAATTTAGCAGCCCTAACCATTGTAAGTTAAAATATTTATTTTTACAGCTGCATTTGATTTATTTTGTTGTCGTCCCCTGTCAAATAAAATCATGTTCTTAACAACAGACATCAGTAATCACAGCACATTACCAAAAACAAAATTAAGAAATCTGTCTAAAATGTTTGTGCTTTCGTGTAAGCTTATTTTCCAGAGAGTTACAAAAAGATGACAGGGTGAAGGATGGAGACAGATCAAGTCCATTTGAGGCCTTTCACAGTATTTTGATTTTCCTCGTGCTTTTATTTATTCAAGAACTATTCTTCAGAAGAAAGGAGAGACAGAAAGAGCACTGCAATTTACCATCATATTTGAAGGAGTAGTCATTATTTATAGCCAGCTGAGTGATTCTGATGTACAATTAACCACTACCTGCTTATGGCCTGTGATTAGAGCCTGTCTGTATGACGGCCCTTTGCTTACTTAAGTGTTTTCTAATTATGACATATGTGGTGGTTCCTGCTGGGAGAGAGGATGCTTTGTAAAGACAAGATGAAGTACGGGGCCTTTCTTGGTGTCACATTCTGTGTGAAGCAACACACGCATGGGCTTGCACGCACACAGGGCCGTATTCATCACCCAGCCACATTATTGCTCTTAATGAAAGAAGCTAGCAGCCCGATGACAAAGTGACTGATGTGTGATTAGCTGGATGGGCAATGGTGCTGCTTCCGATGCTACTTGGACAGTCCACTAGGAAGACACAGCGTTCACAGGGACTCTATGTCTGTAATAAAGTAGTCATCTCGTCCCTCTTCCGTGCTTCGGCGGTCCCCCCTGATCAATCAAGTCCTTTTATAAGCTCATGATCATTAAGCATCATGTTGGGCTGAGAAGGAGAGAGAACCGGGGTCATCAATCAATGAATTTCATTAATAACTATCTCGCTGTTCACTTCTTTTTCCATTGCACAGTCATGTGATTAGTGAACATCAACACACCAGACAGCTGGGACAAAGACTGAATGAGGCTCTTGTTTGAGGTAGCTTCACTTGACATAACGTGCACGGTGGAGCTTGTGCTTATATAGGGAACATGTACATATACTTTATATGAGGCAGCTTTTTATCGACTGTAATATAAAGGTGTGGTTATGATAAGTATCCCTCGCTTTCTTGTGTTATCTATGCTAATTAATATCTGAGCAATATGGTACCACAAATTTTCATAAAATTTAATATACTGAGTTTAATATACTTATTGGTTATCGGTTTGGTAATTTATATCTGCAAATTAGAATTATAGTTGAAATTAGGGCCATAAATTATCTGCACGGTTTCAGGGTTTTGTTTTAAGGCTGGAAAATCTTCAGTGAACTAATGCTGCTTTACTGCCCACGCATCAAGTGCTGTGATAAATTAATGGCACTTTTATTATTTTATAGTGTCATTAAATTTTTACTGATCACTCTGACAAAGAGAAGTAGCAAAGGACATGCAGTATTTAAGGAAGTTGGTCTTCCTGCCAGGAAAAGAGCGAGAGAGAGTGAAAGGGAGGGATCCCATCAGTATATGGCTGATATAAAAAGGTATTTATAATGTGTAGTGCAGGGGAATAATCAAAGACACAAAAAATACAGAAAATTAATGTTGCTTAATGCTGAGAGGCCTCTGCAAGAAGTGGCACATAAACAAAGTGGGATGAAAGAACAAATCAAGGATGACGAGAGGAGGTGAAGATGAAGAGACAGGAAACAAAAGATGTAGCTGTGCACATTATTCCTCTCCCACTCTGACCGCGACTGCTGGCAAGCAACCCGTCCCTCCTTCAAATGACTTCAGCATGCAGCTCTCCACCCCACAACTAAAATTATAGCGGCGCACTCAGAGCTATAGTGGAAAACTGCCACCCACTATAATCTCATCTGCCCTGCCTGCATGCGCAGTCCTTTGTCTTTTAAGTTTTGTAACAGATTAACTTTGTTTGGTTGCACATGAAGTCACGAGCCAGTCCAGTGAAGTTGTGAGTCACTGAGGAAAAGAGAGAGGTAGAAAGAGGATAGATAGCCGAGGTCTGCGGAACTTCTTGGGTGAGGGAACCTAAAAGAGCCCTTGTCAGTGCTGTAAAGAGAGCTTTAATCTGGTTGGCCACAGACCATGTGCCGGAGGCCTACTGCTCTGCCCACAGGGTATATTCTGGGCAGAGGCGGGTGGCGAACGGCCCTGTGTATTGTGCCTACTCCTGCTCTGTATTTAGGCAACACACTACCAATCCCGACACTCCTTCACTCTCTCCTTTGTAAATAGCTCCGGGCTATAGGCAGAGCCATATGGCCTGAGATTGTTCAAATACAGATGAAAGAAAAAACACACTCTGTAGTAAGGTAGACCGCGGTGCGGATCAGCGTGTGGTCGTTTCGGAGTCAGCTCGGTTCGTTTGGGTGTCCGTTTGTCTAAATGATTTTATAGTTTTATTTTAACATCATAGGAAATGAGCATGAGAAATCAATGTAAAATGAAAACACCAGAGGAAACCACAGGTGTGCTGTTGCTCCAATGAAAGAGTTTGGCCGAGGTGAAGATCTGCTTTACTGTACCAGGCAGGAGTCATGGCACAGAGGTCTGGACACTTTACTTTAATCAGTCCCATGTGTTGTTGATTCCTTGAAGATGGACAAACCAGACTTTGGTACATTTTGTCCAGTTAAAAATCATATGTTACTTTATTGCGATATATTTTAATTAATTGATATTAAATTCATAATTGTCCTTCTCATCATTATTGATAATAATTAACAAACCTTTTTCTCCCTAATTCGTGTCAGTTTGAGTGCCAAAATGAATCATAAAATGAACGAGATGATACGGACGCACATTAAGCTGACATGTTTGCTCACCAAAACATCCCAGTGATTATTTACGGAGAAAACGGCTTCATTTCTTTCACGCAGCTGGCAGCGAGTTCTTCCAAATATAACCAGTTGCCAACTTAAAGTCACATAATAGTCTGGTTATTTTTCTGGCCATGAATGTATACAGTAAATTATATGTTTAGCCCTCTCTGTGAAATCTGACAGCAATAACTACTGTCATTTTTGAGATCTCTGAACTATTGGTAAAGCTCGTCCAGCGTTTCCTACACGTTGGAAAGTATATGATCGCATGTGTTTAACATTTTCACGATTGGAAACCTTCAGCAGCTGCAGCAGGGCCCTAAACAGCCACTTACAGTATGTTTGATAATGTGCTGAACTGGCTCTGGTTATATCACACACCTGGTATGTGGCGGGTTGAAGTCAGTGGCTCTCTGACCACAATATAGGCTTTGTGTATCAAGTGTCAGTCATCACTGTGGTCTGCGGCCCTCTGAGTCTCCTCTCCGAGGGTCTCGGGCTAAGTCCCTCAACAATCTGTCCCAGCCGTGATGGAGACAAAGAGTGCACTTTAACATGGCCTCAGCTCCTCACAGCTCACTGCCTCATCTGTTTTGTGTTTTTATTGTAACCAGTTGCAACGTTATTTATAAGTCTGCAGCTTTTCCAGTAGTTTTTTGCTAGTTTTGAACCATTTAAATGTTAAGTACATCCAGCCATGCGGTAAACCCACAGTTACTTTCATTCAGGCTGTTGCTCTCTTTTTTACCCTGAGCTCTCCCTTTGCTAAAGCCTAATGCAGGCAGCAGCAGAATCAACAGTAGCAGCCACAAAAGGCTGGCATCTGTTCTATAGTAGTCGTCCTCAACATCACATAGAGCAGAGATGGCCAGCTATTCCAGTCCCATTCCAACTGCCAGGCCATCACCTCATTTGTTTAAAACAGAGCTAAGAAAGGCCTTTAATTAAATTAGGGAGCTCTCACAAAAAATGGTGGGCTGACCCCACACTTGGCTTTGTG